GCTATTTCAGTGAATGGATTAAGTATAATTTCTAGTTCAGGTTAACGTTTCTCAGTTGAATCAGGTTGTTACTACAAGCTTTGGCTTTATAAAGGCCTCTCTGTTTGGACTGCACAATTACTCAGGTTATAGTGGCTGTCAGTAGATGCTAGTGCTAGTATGTGTTGCTCTTTGGGTAAAACAAGGAACCTTTTATAGATAGTGCTTAGCATGGAAACATGGGGTTCGAATATAGGGTGCCCTGTGGTGGAGGCTAGTTAAGGATAATGTTTAAGTATATCCTGCTGGCCAGGTCTTCATTTCCAGATGAGTCAAAAATTAAAGGAGTAAGATGGCAGTTTTAAATTTTAGGATAATATTAATAACATTTTTTAGTACTGCTGTGTCATTGCCAGCTATTCAATTTCTGTCCCTTTTAGGTAAATATCAGCAATGGCAACTTAAAATAACCAGAGTGCAATACTGTGCATGAGAAAATGTTGGTGGTATTTTACTTTATAAAAATTAATCATAGTTTATTTTAGGGAATTCTAGAGATTCTAATGAAATAATTGTTTTTATTTATGTACTAGTAGCCCGGTGCATGAAATTCGTGCACTGGGGTAGGTGGGGGTGGGAAAGGGGCCCCTCAGTCTGGCCTTCACCCTCTTCAATCTGAGACCCCTCAGGGAATGTCCAGCTGCCTGTTTGTGCGCACACTTTTAACAGATAACAGCTCCATTGTTGTTTGTTTCTTATGCTTAAAACTATAGGAATTAGTAAGTATTCAAAGTGTGTATACATTTTGGGGGGACACCCTGTATATCTCTAGTCAGCGGTGAAAGAAACCAACAGCAGATTTGGAACCCCCAGACAGGGAACCTCGCTCACTCCCCACATGTCTCCCCACTTCACTTTCCACCTTCGTGGGCAGCAGGAGAATCAACGTTTTCTCTCATTAATTTGGAAAAGCACATCCTGTCACCTGCTGCCCGACAGGAGTGTGCTAGGCCCCAAGCAAGCGAGGCTCAGTCAGGGCAGCCTTCGCTCATGGGTGCTGGCACCCAAAATGCACATTCCTCCTCTACAGTCGCCCTGACTATCCCACTGTTTCACTGAGAGGACGGAATGCCTCTCCACCTCTGGGTTCTTGATCTTGAACGCTGACCGAAGGCACCTCAGCGAGGGCCGCCCGTGCCCACCAGGTGTGTCTGTCTGCATCTGCTCCCGCCTCAGCACCTGCATTAACCCCCTAGAGTGATCTCGTAGCTGCACTGGCCTCCGTGGGAACAGGGCATCACCACTCCGCCCTCTCACTGTCATCTCACAAGCACCCACCCTCAGCATCCAGAACACCCAGACACTCTCCAAAGGACGTGAGCGCATCAGAGAGGATGTGTGCACATCCTGTGGGGGTGTTAGGCATGCCGGGTTGATGGAAGTTTGGTGGAGAGGTGGGGGGAACTTGTGCACGCCTTGGTTTGCAACTGTTGCAGGCGCGGGAGGGTGACAGTGTGCTGGGGGATGTTTGCACGCCAGGGGGGGATGTGCACACAGGAGGCCTCAAGCTTTGCAGATCCGCAAACCCCCGTGGTGCGGCCAGGAGGACGTCAGTCTGGCCTGCCATGGTGGCTGTCCCTGCAATCCTGCAGCTTCTGGGCCAGGAGGTGGATCTTGCGCAGCCACTCCTGGGTGTTCATGGCCTGTAGGTGCTACTTTAGCTCAGCCTGCAGGCTCCGCTTGGCGCGCTCACAGCTGTCACCACCGCCATGTGGGGAGTACAGGCCGCCCTCCGCCGGCCTGCCTCCCCTGTCCAGAGGCACTCTGCGCTGCTCACCTGCCCAGAGTGACTGGGGCTGGGTGGAAGCCAGGCGTCCTGCCCTGCCCAACCCTGGCCGATCGCCCTTGTGCAAGCTGTTGCCCCGCCGGGAAGGGTCACGGATCCGAGCCCCAGGACTGCAGACAGCCTCAAGCACTGCCCCCGCCCAGCAGGGTCACAGATCCGGGTCCTGGGACAGCGGACAGCCTCCCGTGCTGCCCCCCGCCCGGCAGGGTCACAGATCTGGGTCCCGGGACAGCGGACAGCCTCCTGCGTTGCCCCCCGCCCGGCAGGGTCACAGATCCGTGTCTTGGTCCCTCGGACAGCCTCAAGCGCTGCCCCCTGCCCGGCAGGGTCACAGATTCGGGCCCGGGACTGTGGACAACCTTGCCTGCTGCCGCCTGCCTTCAGTATGCAAATTAACCGCCATCTTTTTGCTTCAGGGTGGGAGTCCCCACTGGAGTGCCTGGCCAGCCTGGATGACGGGGTGATGGCTGTTTGCAGCTGGTCACACCCCCTTCAGCAAGGGGGTCCCCACTGGGGTGCCTGGCCAGTCTGGGTGAGGGGCTGAGGGCCATTTTCAGGCTGGTGGGCGACTGAAGCTCCCAACCTCCCCTTTTTTTTCTTTTTCTTTTTTATTCTGGGATTTATTTACCTTCTATGACTGTCACTGGAGCTGAGAGCCGGCTTTAGCTCTGAGGCCCGGCTGCAGCTCTGAGACCGCGGCTGTTGAAAGCAGTTATCTGCGTTTGTTCTATAATTGAAACAGTGATGCGGTCTTGCTGGTTGAAGCCCAGCTGGCTGAAAGGTTTCTGGGGATTGTTTAGCTTCTATACTTGCAACATTGTTTCTTAGAGTGCAAGCTCAGAGGCCAGCACCGGCAGGTGGGGAAAGTTGGCTTCCTCCATCACTGGAGCAAGCAAGCCTCCTCTTCGCTTCGCTGCCTGGCTGCCGGCCGCCATCTTGGTTGGCAGTTAATTTGCATATTGCCCTGATTAGCCAATGGGAAGCGTGTTGGAAGTATAGTTAATTACCATGTTTGTCTATTATTAGATAGGATAATTTAAACATATATGTTAAATTAAGAATACTATAATTTTTGTCCCTTTCCCAGTGACATTTGTTTTATGTTTTCTCATTATGAAACAATTTTTTGTTACCTTTCTATGTTGCTAAAAAAAAAAATTTACGTAGAAGCCACATCCCTTCCATATCATCACTTAATGATTAAAATATTGAGGTGTATTTCTGTGATAAGTGTTTTGTTAAGGCATTTTAAAATGCAAGCTTTAAGGATTCACACACTAAATGCAGGTTGTAGAGAGATTACCAGTAATTGCTAATTTAAATTATTCATCTCAGCTAAAGGAGTCAGGTAACTAAGGTACGAATAGGCTTTTCTTTTTGTTAAATTTGCCTTTTTACAAACATGTTTTTATTGATTTTTAGAGAGAGAGGAAGGGAGAAGGATAGAGAGAAACATTGATGAAAGAGAAACATCATCTATTGGCTGCCCCCTACTGGGGATTGAACCTGCAAACCAGGCATGTGCCCTGACCTGGAATCGAGTTGGTGACCTCTTGGCTCATGGTCGACACTCAAGCATTGAGCCATACCAGCTGGGCAAGTTTTTTCTATTAATAAAAGTAATCTTTTTCTTAGGAAAAAAATGTTAGGATATAAAATTCTAATTTGATTCTTTTTTGTTGTTGTTACTCCTCATCCGAGGATTCCCCCACCCCCCACCCCACTGGTTTTTAGAGAAAGAGAGAGAGAAACATCAATGCGAGAGAGACACATGGTTTGATTGCCTCCCACACGTACCCCCAACTGGGCTGGGGATCAAGCCTGCAACCTCAGCCAACACTTTAACCACTGATCCAAACCTTCCATGGCTCTAATTTGATTCTTTTATTATTATTGTTATTTTAATCTAATTTGATTCTTAAGCTATTTGCATAATAAATATTACTGTTTACCATCACTATAAATCCTGGTTTTTGCTAGGCTAAAAATGGGGGTGAGGGCATTATTTGAATAAGGAAAAAAGGGTAGACACAAGTTATATGTGAGTGTATGTTAGGGTAAGTGTAGATTTTAGGGACAAGCCTTGATTAGAGAGTAAAATATGCTTTTAGAATAATGTTGACATTTTATTTTAATAAGTGACTTTAGCTTTCAGGAGCTGTTTATAATCTGCCTTATACCTTTTTTCCCCATCTATATTTTTCACTGCTCTAACATAAATCTTGGTCTTGAGGCAAATTGGGTTTCTCCCTACTCCCTGATGCACTGTGCCCCTTCACACCTCATGGCTCCAGTTTTAGGCTATTTCCTTTGCTTCTGGAGACCTACCCTGTCCACCATAGGAGGTACTCCTTCCTCTCACAGCTCTTCAAAGGTACCCTGAAATCTTACCTGTTCATATATAGGTGTGATGTCTCCTGAGCTTTTAGAACATTTATTTGCCTCTTTAGTAACTTTCATAGAAGGTCAAGAACATGTCTTAAATATTTTAAAAAATCTCATATCCCTGAAGACTATACCTTGCTCATAGTGGGAATTTAATAAGTATTGCATGAAGGATTGTGAAAATGTTGGTATTGTATTATTTTTTATACAGTGGAATGAATTTTCTCCACTCTAAAACAGGTTAATGTATATGTAAATGTACTAATTCGTTTAGGACAGGGTTTCTTGGTGGTTGACACTGTTCTATTTTGTGCTGGATAATTGTTTTATGGATATTGCCTTGTATCCATACTCTCTCCCTACTCTCTCCTCACTCTCTCCTCACTAGATGTCACTAGATGTCAGTGACATCTCCTCACTACTCTCTCCTCACTAGATGTCAGTAGTACTCCTTGTCCTCACCCCAGTTGTGAAGACCAACAGTGTCTCTTACATTGCCAAATGTTCCTGGGGAGTCAGTATGACTCCTGGTTGAGAACATTGCTTTAGAAGAAAAAAAGCATAGGGATTTCAAGATTCTTCTTAATTGTAGTTTATAATGTGTATGTTTTTGAAGGGCTTTTAAGTAAAAACAAATGTTTCAAAATTCTTCAAATTTAACCTTGTATAATTTAAGGAAACTATCTCAAGGACACTATTAATTCTTATAAAACTTTGATGACTTCAGAGAATTGCATTTTTTGTGTCTATTTTACATTGAATGATGGATTTTATTTGGTGTTTTCTGCAGATTGAAATTAAAATGAAAAAGTCAGAGGCTGTGAGATGGGAAAAGCTCGAGGGAGAAGAAGAGCCTAAGCCAAAACAGTTCGTAGCAGGTTTGTTTTCTGGCCTTGATGAGCTTTACATTCAAATTGTGTTATATAGTTGAAATTAAATAGTAATGAGCTTTCTTTTTGTTTTCATTATTTATGTTCCCAATATAAGACACATCGAGTATCATAAGGTTGCTCTATAATGAATACAAATTGGCTCGTCTTATGAAAGATCTGACTTCTTAAACTCTTAAGAGTACAAATGAATGGCAGCAAAAGCCTAGAGAAAATTTGAATTTATTGTTTACCTTGCAGTTTATGATATCAATTGGAGGTTGTTGTTTGTGGGTGTGTGTGTTGGCCTTTCCTATTTGTGCTTTTTTAGTTTTAAGTGGATTAGTAATTTACCGATATATTTTTTCCTCTTTCCTCTCCCTTCTTATTTATTCCTTTCTATGCTGATATTGTCAACTCTAATTTCCTGGAATTTCAGAGATTCACTGAATAAAGTATTCCTTGCACTATATGGTCTAATATAATGAATTTATATATAATATATTTTTATTGATTTCAGAGAGGAAGGGAGGGGGAGAGATAGATAGAAACATCAGTGATGAGAGAGAATCACTGATCGGCTCCCTCCTGCACAGCCCACACTGGGGATTGCAACCCGGTCATGTGTACTGACAGAGAATCGAACTGTGTCCTCCTGGTTTGTAGGTTGATGCTCAACCACTGAGCCATGCCGGCCGGGCTATTTCAGTTACTTTTAGATATTTCACTGCTTTCTTCTGTAACAGAAAACATATTTCCCTGTGGAACTTTTTAGAAAACAGATCATGCATTTTTATTATTTTTTATTTTGAAATAATTCTCATAATTATAATAATTCTCATAATTCATAAGTTGCAGAAATAGAGTTTCTATGTACCCTTCACCTAGCCTTCCTGGATGTTAATATTGTAACTAAGCTATAGAATAATTAGTAAAATTAGGAAACTGACACCAATAGATAATTTTTAAGAATGAAATTTGGGGCTGGATAATTAAGAATGGAATTTCAAGTTGGTATTTAAGCTATTTAACTAAGCTTCTGCATCTCACTTTATTTGAAATACATAGTAAAATATTATGTGCTTCTTTTAGGGCTGACTCCCATAGATTTTGGGGCTGAAGTTTATATATAGCTCAAAGAAACACTTTAAATGAAACACTTTAAATGTAGTATCTCATTTAATTCTAACAATGGCCCTATATAGTAGGCAGCCTAGTATTGTTTCTCCTAGTTTACAGGCTCAGAAAGGTTAAACAGCTTGTTTTAAGATCACCTAGCGTCTTTTATTGTCTAGGACAGTGATGGCGAACCTTCTGAGCTCGGCGTGTCAGCATTTTGAAAAACCCTAACTTAACTCTGGTGCCATGTCACATATAGAAGTTTTTTGATATTTGCAACCATAGTAAAACAAAGATGTATATTTTTGATATTTATTTTTATATATTTAAATGCCATTTAACAAAGAAAAATCAACCAAAAAAATGAGTTCATGTGTCACCTCTGACACGTGTGTCATAGGTTCGCCCTCACTGGTCTAGGACTAAACCCAGGTCTTCAGAGTCTGGGTCTGGTTCTTCTGTTAACCTGTTTTACTGGTTGTTTTTGCATTTTCTAACAATGAAAAGTCTCTGCTGACATGAGTATCTTTGCAGTTATTTGATATTATAGTGAACTAGAGGCCTGGTGCATGAAATTTGTGCACTTGGGAGGGTGTCCCTCAGCCCAGCCTGCGCCCTCTCACAATCTGGGAGCCCTCGGGGGATGCCGTCAGTCGGACGTCCATAGCACTGCCGTGGAAGCGGGAGAGGCTCCTGCCACCACTGCTATGCCCGCCAGCTGTGAGCCTGGCTTCTGGCTGAGCGGCCCTCCCCCTGTGGGAGTGCACTGACCACCAGGGGACAGCTCCTGTGTTGGTCAGTGCACATCATAGTGATTGGTCATTTGCATATTAGCCTTTTATTATACAGGATGAGCAAGGAAGTCAGGTTACTCTCAGTAATTCATCTACTACCTACAGGTGTTAAAATTTTTCTGAGATCAACTATAAAGGTTTTTTTAATTTTACAAACTTTTCTAAACTAAATGCTTTGCATATTCATAAAGATGCTATTCCTCCTGTCCTGTTATATTTTTGTAAGGAATTAATATGCTTGTCAGATTCCTGTGTACTGCAAGCTGCAGACTGCAGATAAGGGCACATTGCTTAACCTATCTGGGCAGTGGAAATTCGAACCTGTGTTCCCATCTTTCTGGGAAGTCTCATTAGGATGAATTTAATCCATGTTTCCTAGGCTCTTAATTTTCATGGCAAGTTAAAATTTTTCTTTGGCTACTAGTGATAATGTACAGAGATAGAGGAGATTACTAGTAGAGGAAGGTCGGTAGTATGTGAAAAATAGTATGCTTGCCCTGAATAAAACTGTGTGGTGTGTTGTAGTTTTGTTTTGTTTTGAGGCAAGGATAGGCAGGGAGAAAGTTGGTTTACCAGTGAAGAGAAAGGATGGAAAAACAGAATGAACAATTAGTAGTTTTCTCATTTACTTTGAGGAAGGGGATGTAGAGAGGCAGTAGTGGAAGAAGGACATTTAGATTAGTATTAATGTGTTCTAATATATTGATAGGAAATCTTTGAATCAGTTTTTTTTTAAATCTCTGTGTTGCATTGTCCAGTATAGTAGCTGCTAGCCACATGTACCTATTGAGCACTTGAAATATGACTAGCCTGATTTGAGATGTGCTCTCAGTGGAACATACATATTAAATTTTGAAGACTTAGTATGAAAAAAAGAAATAAATGCCGTAATGTTTTTATTTTATGTTGAAATGATACTATTTTGTGTATATTAGGTTAAATAAATATATTATTTAAATGCATTTCACCTGATTCTTTCTACTAAGGTGGCTACTAGAAATTTTTTAATTATATATGTGGCTCACATATGTGGCTTGCATTATATTTCTATTGGATAGTGAACAGAACTGCTCTTATAGCTACTGGGTAGGTTATTTACTTTTAAATTATTTATGTGCCAAGATCTTGATTCCTTTGGTCTTGGGGGCAGCCTTGACAGTGCCCTGAGTCCCTGGGCTGGTATCTGTCTGCCTGCAAGCAGCCTCCATTTATCCCAGGGTGCCCTATAAATACTGTTATTTGCTATGTGTGCATAGTGTGGGCATTGAACTCTAGGTCATCCCATATAGTATTTTTCAATATTATGGACCTGATTCTTATTATCTCCTATTGAAGTATTCTGATATTTTTAATGTGGGGAGAGAATGGATGAATTAACTCACTGCCGAATAGGATGGATAATTATTTACATTTGCAGTTTATTTCTACTCTGGAAGAAATATAAGTATCTTAGGAAAGGTCACATTTTTAACATTAAAATCTTGTCTATAAGAGAAATTTCTGAATGAAGCAACTTAAAAAACACATTAATTTTATAATTGTACTATCTTTGCAACTTTTCTGTAAATATAAAAAAGTTTCTATATACTTTTCACTTAGTTTCCCCTATTATTAACTTGAAGAATCTGTTTTTCATCTAATTTTGCATAATGTATCAAAAGTTTACATTTTATGGAACTAATTTGTTCAAAAGAGATTGCTATATTTTACATTATGTTGATTCAGTTTTTAGAAGTGTAAATTTAATTATTGATGTCTATCAGAAAGATACTTATTTCAAACATGAAGTTCAGTGAAATTCAATCACCTATTATTTGCTAAGGTGTTCTTTACACCATGGTAACAAAGTTTACATATTCTTGGCATAATCAACACATGTCACTTCTTTTTACTCTGTAGATGTAAAGAACCTATATCCATCATCATCTCTTTATACAAGAAATTGGGATAAATTGGTTGGAGAAATCAAGGAAGAAGAAAAGAATGAGAAGTTGGAGGGAGATGCAGCTTTAAACAAATTATTTCAGCAGATCTATTCAGATGGTTCTGATGAAGTGAAACGTGCCATGAACAAATCATTTGTAAGAATATAAACTTTAAAAATATATATTGTGGTAGTAAATTTCAGAAATTTTAAAAGAATAAGATCAAAATTTGAGTCCAAATTGCATGTATTATAGTTGGGAGATTTTTTTGAATAAGCTTTGTCTGGACATTTCTTCTTGCTCTAAACTTAGAATAATTACTGACGAAGTCGGAACTGGTGGAGGAGTTAAGAAACAAGTGGTTTACACCAAATATTTTTTATCATTGAGATAGAACTGGAAAGGCTTAAGAAATATCAAGGTTATAGTGGGTGATACAGAGTTATTCTAGTTAAATTTATCAGAATAGCTGAATGAGCTTCCATTGTTTACCTTACAACAGTTCTCATCCTGTGGGTCGTGAACGATGAAAATACATCCTGCATATCAGATATTTACATTACGATTCATAACAGTAGCAAAATTACAGTTATGAAGTAGCAACGAAAATAGTTTTATGGTTGGGGGTCACCACAACATGAGGAACTGTATTAAAGGGTGGCGGCATTAGGAAGGTTGAGAACCACTGGATAGTCTCAATGTCAGAGATGAAAAATACAGAAGGGAAACTTCCAGAACAGTGTTGGCAAGTGAAAGTACATATTATTATTCATTGGTTTTTTAATAATTTCTCTATTGATTAAGAAAATTCAGATTTTGCCAGGGCAGCATAAATGTTGTCTGTATTAGGCCTCAAGTTCTGAGATCTCAATGACAAGTCATCACTGTAGAATTATGTAGACTTTTTGCTTGAAGATGTAATCATTTGATTTTTACCAGTAGCATTGAAAATGTAACACACTTTTTTTTAATCCTCACTGAGGATATGTTTATTGATTTTTTTTTTAGAGAGAGAGGGAAGGGGGTGTAGGGGAAGAGAGAGAAGAAAGAAACATTGATGTGAGAGAGAAACATCAATCCATCGCCTCCCGTAGGTGCCCTGGAATGGAATCCATAGTCTTTTGGTGTAGGGGATGATGCCTCCAACCAACTGAGTTACTTGGCCAGGGCTGTAACTCTCTTCTTTTAAGGCATTTATATTACAGTAAATGTTAAAATTAACATTTACTAATTAATATTTAGTTAATCAGTGTGTTTGAGGTTTAGATACTCCACATAAATTACTATGTGGTAACTAGTCATGATTGTGCTTTTCACTGTTGACTTAAAAAATTTTTGTTTTAATTAGACTTTATTTTGAAATAGTTGTAGATTCACATGAGTTGTAAGAAATGAGGAATACTCCTTATATCCTTTAGTTTCCCTCAATTGAAACATTTTACAAAATTGTAGTACAACATTACAACCAGGATATTGACAGTTAAAGTACAGAACATTTCAATTGCCACAGGATCCCTCATCATTTTATAGCCATACTCACTTTGCTCCCACTCCTACCCCTTCTTAACCCTTGACAACCACTAATCTGGCAAGTCTTTGTCAGATATGTAATTCGCAGATATTTCTCACAGCCTGTAGCTTGTCTTTTCATTTTTTAAAAAAATACATTTTTTTATTGATTTCAGAGAAGACGGGAGAGGGAGAGAGAGAGATAGAAACATCAATGATGAGAGGGTCAATGATTGGCCGCCTCCTGCATGCCCCACACTGGAGGTCTAGCAGGCAACCAGGTCATGTGCCTTGACTGGGAATTGAACTGTGACCTCCTGGTTCATAGGTTGATGCTCAACCACTGAGTCAGGTTGTCTGGGCCACTTTTTCAATGTTCTTTGCAAAGCCAGAGTATTTCATTTGATGAAGTTTATCAGTTTTTTCCTTTGTGGATCATACTTTTGGTGTCAAATCTAGTATTTCTTAGTCTTGGATCTCAAAGATATTTTCCCACATTTTAAAAAAATCAAAGTTTTGTAGTTTTACGTATTACATTTAAGTCCATATCCATTTTGACTTAAAGTGTGAGATAATGGTTAAGGGTTTTTGTTTGTTTGTTTGTTTTAGCCTGTTTATATTCTATTACTCTACTTGTTAAAAAGATTGTCTTTCCTCCATTAAATTTCTTTTCACCTTTCTCAAAAATCAGTTGAGCATTTTGTGGGAGTCTGTTTCTGGGTTCTCTGTTCCATTGATCTACATGTCTCTCCCTTTGTTAATACCACAGCCTTGATTACTATAACTATATAAGTCTTGAAATTGGGCAGATTTATTCCTCCTACTTTATTCTTCATTTTTAAATTGTTTTATCCTAGTTCCTTTGCCTTTCCATATACATTTTAGAATACTTTGTCTATATGTACAAGAAATCCTGTTAGGAATTGCATTGAACTGTATATCAATTTGGAGAGATTGACATCTTTACTGTGTTGAATTTTCCAACCCATTTATTTAGCTTTTCTCTGATTCCTTTCATCAGCATTGTACAGTTTTCAGCATATAAATCCAGTACATGTTTTGGTAGATGTGCCTAAGTATTTAATTCTTTTTTTTGAGTGATTATAAATAGTATTATATTTGATATTGGTTTGTTGTTCATATCTAGAAATACAGTTGTGTTTTTTAAAAATGTTTGCTTTACATTCTGTGAATTTGTTGAACTTAGTAATTTTAGGAGATTTTTTTTGTAGATTTCTTTTGATCTAAGAAGAATAGATTCCTTCTGTTTTCTATATCATATTGTTTTCAAATATGGACTGTTTTATTTTTTCCTTTTATCTTCTTTTCTTGATATATTGCACTGGCTGGAACTTCTAGCACTGTGTTGAATAAGAGTGGACATCCCCATCTTCATTCTTTCACTATTAAGTATGTTGTACGTATTTTGTAGATGCTCAACCAAGGTGAAGTTCTGCTCTATTCATATTTTTTACTGAGCTTTTATATCATGAACAAATTGACTTGTTGAATGCTTTTCTGCATTGATCAATATAATAATGTGATTTTTTTTTAGCTTTACATGATTAATATGATTGATTTCTATTGTTGAACCAGCCTTGCAACCCTGGAATAAACCCCACTTTGTCATAGTGTAGAATTCTTGTTATATATTGCTCAATTCTATTTTCAAATACTTTATTAAGAATTTTTGTCTGTATTCATGAGGGAATTGGTCTGTAGTAGTCTCTTTTTTTTTGTACTTTGTCTGGTTTTGGTGTCAGGGTAATACTAACTTTATAAGAGGATTGGGAAGTGCTTTATCTCCTAGTTTTTTTTGGAAGAGCTTGGGTAGAATTGGGGTTCATTATTCTTTAAACATCTTTAAACCAGTGAAATCATCTGAGCCTGTTCATTTCTTTTGAGGGGATTTAAAATTGTTATTTTAGCCCAGCCAGTGTGGTTCAGTGGTTGTGCATTGACCCATGAACCAGGAGGTCACGGCTCTTTTCTCCGCCAGGGCACATGCCCGGGTTGCAGGCTCAATCCCCAGTGGGGGCATGCAAGAGGCAGCCAATCAATGATTCTCTCTCATCATTGATGTTTCATCCCTCTCTCCCTCTCCCTTCCTTTCTCTGAAATCAATAAAAACATTTTTTTAAAAAATTATGATTTTAAATATCCTAATAGCATATAGGACTATTCAAATTATCTGTTTCATATTGAGTGACTTGTGGTAGTTTGTGTTTTTGAGGAATTGGTCTATTTTGTGTAAGTTTTTAGTATTGGTAGTATTCCCTTGTTACCCTTTTGATGTCTGCAGGATTTCTGTGGTGATATTCTATTTCATTCCTATAATGGTAATTTGTGTCCTTTCTCTCTCTCTCTCTCTCTTTCTCTCTCTCTCTCTCTCTCTCTCTCTCTCCCTTTATCAGTCTTGCTAGAGGTTTGTCAACTTTGTTGATTTTTTTTTCAAAGAATCAGCTCTTTGTTGATGTTTAAAAACTTGTTTGCTATTTTTTTCTTTTTTTTTTTTTTTTGTTTTTTTTTTTTTGTTTTTGTTTTAATTAATTTATTTATTTATTTATTTTTTAATTAAATCTTTATTGTTCAGATTATTACATTTGTTCCTCTTTTTTTTCCCCCCATAACTCCCCTCCTCCCAGTTCCCGCCCCACCCTCCGCCCTCACTCCCCACCCACTGTCCTCATCCATAGGTGCACGATTTTTGTCCAGTCTCTTCCCGCATCTCCCACACCCCTTTCCCCCCCAGGAATAGTCAGTCCATTCCCTTTCTATGTCCCTGATTCTATTATAATCAACAGTTTATTCTGTTCATCAGATTATTTATTCACTTGATTCTTAGATTCACTTGTTGATAGATGCATATTTGTTGTTCATAATTTGTATCTTTACCTTTTTCTTCCTCTTCCCCTTCTTAAAGGATACCTTTCAGCATTTCATATAATCCTGGTTTGGTGGTGATGAACTCCTTTAGCTTTTCCTTATCTGTGAAGCTCTTTATCTGACCTTCAATTCTGAATGATAGCTTTGCTGGATAAAGTAATCTTGGTTGTAGGTTCTTGGCATTCATCACTTTGAATATTTCTTGCCACTCCCTTCTGGCCTGCAAAGTTTCTGTTGAGAAATCAGCTGACAGTCGTATGGGTATTCCCTTGTAGGTAACTGAGTTTCTTTCTCTTGCTGTTTTTAAGATTCTCTCTTTATCTTTTGCTCTTGGCATTTTAATTATGATGTGTCTTGGTGTGGTCCTCTTTGGATTCCTTTTGTTTGGGGTTCTCCGCGCTTCTTGGACCTGTAAGTCCATTTCTTTCACCAGGTGGGGGAAGTTTTCTGTCATTATTTCTTCAAATAGGTTTTCAATATCTTGCTCTCTCTCATCTTCTGGCACCCCTATAATTCTGATGTTGGTACGCTTGAAGCTGTCCCAGAGGCTCCTTACACTATCCTCGCATTTTTGGATTCTTTTTTCATTTTGCTTTTCCGGTTGGGTGTTTTTTGCTTCCTCGCATTTCAAATCATTGACTTGATTCTTGCGCTCCTCTGGTCTGCTGTCGGGAGTCTGTATAATATTCGTTATTTCAGTCCGTGTATGCTTAATTTCTAGTTGGTTCCCCAATATAAGATCGAGGGTCTTATTAGTTTTC